ATCCCTTTTACAAGTGTGCTTAATTTTTCATGTCCACGAATTGTTTCCACACGAGTGATATTAGTGTAAAACAAATGAACAAAGAACAGATATGTAGGTTTTCTATTTTCCGATAAAAATAATTCTAAAAGACCCACATTTTCAAAATAAGAACTGAAATTTGATGGTATGAAATCATCAAATTTGACGAATCTACCTGGAAGAATTTCGAAAGATGATATTTTATTGAATTCTTCAAGTAAATCCGAACTTTTTAAATAGACAATAATTTCATCATTAACATTAGAATGAGTTTGTTTAGCTTTCTTAGCTCTAGACTTAAATAGACAATAATTTCATCATTAACATTAGAATGAGTTTGTTTAGCTTTCTTAGCTCTAGACATGATGAAGAACATTAACATTAGAATGAGTTTGTTTAGCTTTCTTAGCTCTAGACATGATGAAGAACACGAAATGAACTTGAAAACCAAGAAAGGATTGAAAAGCTTACCCAAAATGATGAAACCCTAGATGTAGTCGACTAATCTTGCTTGTAGTCGACTACAGGACCTGAATAGAGCTTGGAATCAAGGAAATTATTGAAGAAATAAGTGGGAAAGATGAGATTTTAAGATGCCCTAGATGGGGAAACGGAATTTCTGAAATGGGGAAGAGGAGGGATCAGTTGTGGGGAAGAAGAGAGAGAATTAGGGATTTTAAGAAGTTATTCTTATCAAATACTTGAATGGTCAAGATTAGTTAAGAAAAAAACTGTGTGGTTTGGATTTGATCTAAATAAACAATAGATATAAGGCTAGGATTTGATCAGATAATTGAATGGTTGAGATTTGATTGTAAGTTAAACGAGTATTGGGTTGTGGATTTGATTGTAAAAAAAATCCAACAGACTAAAAGTCTGTAAATTGAAAAACTGATGTTAGTAGTCGGCTATAAATAAAAGTGGTCGACTACATGTTGGTCGACAGAAAGTTTATTTACAGACTGTAATAAAAAGTAGTCGACTACAAAGAAAATTAGTCGACTATACTGAAATTTACAGAAAATCCTATATGCACTGTTTGTGCATGTAGTCGACTATAATGTAAATTAGTCGACTATAAAACCTGTGAATACAAAAAAACTTTAATTTAAATCATCAATTGAACTTTAATTTAAATCATCAATTGAACATATACCTAATTCTCTTCTTAATTTAACATAAATTTTTTCTTTTAAAGGCTCAGTTAATATATCTGAATTTTGTTTATCAGTAGGTATAAATTCTAACAAAATGTCACCTTTAATAAGCACATGATCACGTAAGAAATGATGTCTAATATCAATATGTTTTGTACGTGAATGTTGAATCGGATTTTTAGATAAATTAATTGCACTTGAATTGTCACACATTATGGATGATATGAGACAATTTATGCCAAAATCTAATAATGTTTGTGAATTTCTGAGATTACCATTTTTCTTTGTAATTTATAATCTACTTTGCATAAATTTTAAAATAATACTATTCCCCCCTCTAGTGTCCTAGTGTATCTATTTCAGATCCTACAGACTCCTCGATCCGACAGCACCTCGCCCTGTTGATAATAAGCCGTCCCTATAAACTGAACCCCTAGGCCTGTATTTATAGGCTTCGGTTGGAGGTTTTTCAGATAAGAATGAGGGATTTGGCCATATCTTCAGTTAATAACGGCCTAACCACGTTTGTAGATGATATTTAGGCAGTTAGGAACCACTGGAACATATAAATTTTAAGAAAACCGCTCAAAACTGTCGAAAACGCGTCAGGGGGTCAAAACAGCGCGACGGGTGCTGTTGACCCGCGGGGGGCGCGGGTCGGCGCGGGCGCGGGTAGTTTGGCCTTTTGCTAAACTTTGTGTTTTCTGACTTTTTCGGGACTTGTACTTTCCACCGTTTTGCGTATTTGGCCATCTTGTTGACTTGTATGATTTGCTAACTTGCTTCATGCGCTCGTTAGCTTCTTTACGATACTTGGAACTGACTGATAAGCACGTCAGACACTTTGGATTTGACCGACGAGCGCAAGTTGACTGACGAGTGCATTCAGTCACTTTGAGTTGATCGACGTGTGCGTGTTGATTGACACGTGCGTGTTGATTGACGCGTGTAAGTTGATTGATGCGCGCGAGCTGACTGTCGTGTGTGCGTTGACTGATGTGCGCAGCAGCCAATTGGATAATTCTTCTTGACGCGTCCACTCTTCATTTCGAGCTGCGTGCGGGCTCTCATAGGTAATTTTAGATGCCTACAGTATTGCTTTACTCTACTATTCTGCCAACCTCCTTTTGATGTGCTCATGTAGGCTCAATCCAACCAACATCCGACATCGTTGTTTGTTTAGAATACCTAATAAGAAAACACAAACACTAGACAAACAATATTAGGGATTATTTGTAAAACATCATCAAAACAAAAAGGCCAACAATATCTACTTCTTTTTATCATATGCTTAAAATATTTATAACTACAAATAAAGACTATTAGAATTCATTACTTTTCTTGAGCCATAAAAAAGTGACTCATGGATACCATTTCAAAATAACTAAATGACTCATAAAATATAACTCCTATTGCATTTAGTATATGTTATTAGACATTAAAGCTGTGCAAACATTGAAACCTGTAGTGGGCTTTGCATGCTAATATACGTCCATAACAATATGCTTTGAGTTGTAACAAATGTACCATTCAAAGTTATAGTATAATATATAAAATATATTATAGTATAGTTACATACAGATATATTAAAATATATTTTAGTATACATTCTTCTTTTATGTATAACACACTATAGATATAAAGTTTAGTATAATATAGAGATATCATACTATGATAAATATTTATATCATACATTAATTTTAAGTGTACATATTTGTTTGATTATAATTATAATTATAGTATAATATATAATATAATATAGATATAAAGTTCATTAATTATTAATACTTAAACTTTAGTATAAAATTTTTATACTATAGTTTAAAATTATATATCTAACTATATTAAATATAAGATTGGATGTTATGTGAAAATTTTGAAGAAAAATATAGTTTATGTATGTATGCATGTAGATACACTTGTTATCCTTTTATTGGGATCTTCAGTGAACCATAGAGAATAAGTAGCACAAAATTTTACATGAAACACATCAACATAATTAGAACTACACATCCTAAAGCAAATGATATGTGACAAAATTCTTTTAGCATTAAAGAATAGACTCGGTGACTTTCGCACACAAAGAGTCTCTCCCTTTGTGCAATTATATTTTTTTCCCTAAATCTTTTTGTCTCAATTTACACCACATATATAAGACGAAAAAGAAACAAAGAGATGTGGATAAAAAATAAGTTTCTTCTTTTACGACAACACATACCACTCTGAAACTTCAATTTAGATAATATGAATGCATTTATCCATGCACAAAAGTACTAAAAAATGTGAATGGACGAAACTCATATCCCAAACTCATCATAAACTCCTCTGACACCCTCCTTCTCCACCGAAACCTTCATCACCACCTCCAAATCCACATCCCCTTCCTCGATCGAATTACCGGCCACTACTTTCTTTGTCAAACCCACCATCTTCATCGAATCAACCACAATTGCCCTCTGACATCGTCTCCGCCCCTACTACCGAAATCACCAAGCTCACAACAACCACTTTCACCAAATTCACCTCACCGCTAATGCCAAGCTTGCCTCAATGGCAGAAGCATGTCTTTTAGTATTCGAACTCCCCATCTTCCTTCAATTTCCTTACATTGGCAGAGCAAAGAAGAATAACCAAGGGGAAAAAAGTAGAACTTGGACACTTTAATTATTTGATTTGATCTAGTATTTGTTATGTGAAGAGAGGTAGAGAGGGGACCTGAGAAAGAAAAGGAGATTATATAGGGAGTGGAATGAAACAGATGGAAGTTGGAGGGGTTCGTGATAATTTGTTGGAGGTACCAAGAGGAGCTCACTTATCAAAGGTGTTAATGCACGAAAAGAAGCTTTCCAAACTGCTAATTTTCTTCTTTATGAAATGTTTCCATTAGAGGGACATCAAATTTTCACTTATTAGAAAATCTAAGTTTTGTAGGGACCACTTAAAGTAGAATTAGAGAAGTGTGAACTATTTTCTATCTTGGTTTGTGTCTCTTAGGCGCTATAAACTTTAAAGTCTGAATAAAATGTTTCATCCATGCCTTTACATATGCGCACATAAACACCAAGTTATTATGAACAATTCGATTAGATAACGATTAATTTATTAATTTAATTAAAGTTACATAATTAATTATTTTATTTTTTATTTAAAACCACTCTAAATGAGATATAAACGTTATTTGAAGCTGATAAGCACTAAAAAGATTAATGTTTAATTATAATCTTATACTATTAAAAATATGATGTTTAATATAATTTTGTACTATCATAATCTAATCGGAGTTGCATCATTGCATAAATAATAATTCCTACATTAGGTTAGAACATCATACACTTGATAATCTAATACTATTATGATAATTGATTTAGTTATTATTTTAGATTTAATTTATTTAATAATCTAGAGAATAGTTATCCTATAGTAAAAACCTTAATTTAATGTGATCTAATAAAATTGGGAGTTATGATAATACACTACAGCAAATTACACTTTTCCCAACGATTTTAGTTAGCGTCGGCAAAACATATATTTTTCCATACGTTTATAATTAGCATCGCTAAAAGTGTATATTATTTGCGATGTTTTAACTTAGCGTTGGTAAAAGTGTATGGAATTCCTGACGTTTTTTCATTTTCATCGGTAAAAAAATAGTTTTTAGTGACGTCAAAATATTCATCCTAAAAAATTATACATTTGACAACGCAAAACTTTTCGTCGCAAAATGTATATTTTACCGATGCTTTTTTATTCACGTGCGTCGCCAAAAAAAAAGCCCCTCTTTTTTTCATTTCCCCGCCTACTTTTCATTTCCTCCCCCTCTTTTGAAACCTCGTCCTCCCCTCTGCCCTCCTCCAAAAAACCCTTCTCCTCCTCAAAGTCCCTCTTCTCCTCCTCCTTCAAACCCTCCCAATCCAACCTCAGACTCCGGCGATCCACTGCCCCGCCCTCTCCGCGTCGTAAACGAGAAGGTCGTCGGAATCGACCTCGGAGCAACGAACTCGGCGGTGGCGGCGATGGAGGGAGGGAAGCCGACGATCGTGACGAACGCCGAGGGGCAGCAGTTTGCGGCTGAGGAGATAACCCTGGCCCAAGTCTCCTTGTTAATCTGTATGTTGTTTTCTGCCCCCTTTTATTTGAAAAGATTGGTTTTTGATTGAAAAGATGTGATTTTGATTGTTTGGGATTAGGGATTTGGATGGGGTCATGTCAGTGGAGGAGAGGAGGGAGGAGCAGAGAGAAGAGGAGGCTCTGCACGCTGGCAGTCTCCGAGTTCCTCGGAGGTTTGGTTCTTTTTATTTGAATTTATGATATTTTTTTGGTTTTTTTTAAGTTTAAATGTTGGAAGTTTTTATCATTGTTCTATGTAAGCCGCCATGGAATGCTAGCATGTCACTAGAGGAGTTTGATGCTAACGAGAGGTAGGAGTTCTTAGTTTGGCGCAGAAATCTCGCAAAGTGAGAGTTTTGTGATTGTCATCTTGGTGCTGAAAGGATTTCAAGTTTGATTAGTTAATAATGTATCTAACTGCAAAAGAATGTGGATAAAAAAGGAAAAAAATATTTGATAATTAATTAGTTAATAATGTTTGATTCTACGTTTTCTAGATGAACATTTAAGATTATGATTAGTGGCTAATTAGTGTATTTCTCTTGAAATCAGTTATAGAGTATACTCAACATCCTTTGTGGTGTTTTTCTCTGGTTCCTGTCACTTTCAACTGGTTCTACATACTTACTCAGGATCCAGAAAATGCATTTCACATCTACTTCTATTAGTTTTAAATAAACCTGGAAAAGCGCTGCATTTTCTAATATTATATATTCAGGATTTGTAAGGACATTTGAATTTAGTTTTATGGTTTTACATGTAACATGAGGAATCATTATGGTGGCCCTGATGTTTCACAATTCACATCTTCCATGTTTCACACTAGTTATTTTTAAATTGAGTAACAACTAACTTGAAGAATTTTATTTTTGGTAGATATAGTTATTATGCCATGTTTCTAAAACTATCTTTTTTAAATTATAGGCTCGAGGAGAATGACAAACTTGTCCTTACTCCTTTTGAAAAGAATCTGGACATATGGAGACAGCTTTGGCGAGTACTTGAACGAAGTGATCTGGTAAAGTTTGGCTTAAGTTCTGCAATGTCAGTTCTAATTTTTGAATTCACATTTTTGTTGAAGTCTTGCTTATGAAAGGTCGTAACATGTCTATCATCTACTTTACTTACCATCTATTATTATTTGAACATTAATCTTGTATTTTCTCTTTTATTGATCAAATGATTATTAGAGTATAAAAGTTGCCTTCACTCTCTAAAGTATAAAGTTGGTGGGCAAATAGATATCATCTCTATTTGGCTATTTCTTAGATAGTTTGAACGCACTAATACAGGTACATATGATCATGAGACAGAAATAAATGTGCGACCTATAATTTTTGTTATTTGTATGTTCTACTATATGACATAACCATGTTGAGTGAATCAATTAGGTTTATTCAGTTTAAAAACAATCTATCATAACATATTATATGGTAATGGAATATCATGATCAGTATATGTGATGACTCCTTTTACTTTTGTATTTTTTTACTTGTTTTACTTATGGCGATATTTATTTGTTCTTGGGTATCATATCTAATTGTTACCTTACGATATATTAACTTTTACTAACTTCGGTAAAGGAACTTATTTAAGAACCTGCGTATTAAGAATCAGTATTTTCTGTAGCTATACAAGCATACATATATGAAGAATTTCCTCCAACCCTTATAGACATTAAAGGTCTTGGATTTTATATGAAGGATGGTCTTCGTTTTTATGTATGGCTTATTTCTCGCTTATGTATAGTAATTAGGGAACATAACATTTCATTCTGTTTAAATTTTAATGAACGAACCTGTTCAAGTTCCATAACTGCACGGTTTTCATTACATTTGTTTTCGAACTCCCATTTCGACAATATGCACTCCTTTCCTTAATATACAAGTTTTGTACTTTGTTCTTTTTCCAGTTGGTGATGGTTGTCGATGCCCGGGATCCATTATTTTACCGATGTCCTGATCTTGAGGTATGTTTGCTTATTTGAAAATCCTATCTTTTATTTTTTTATTTTTATTTCTGCGTATGGTATAAAACTTGATGGTCAAGATTTGGAAAACTTATAAAATATTAGCTGCAATTATCAGCCTTTTCTTGTCCCATCTATATGTTGCTGAACAAATTTTGGCAGTTATTACACTTAATGACTCACTGCCAATGTGTAGGCATATGCACAAGAAATTGATGAGCAAAAGAAAACTTTGCTTCTTGTTAACAAGGCAGATCTATTGCCATTCACTGTGTGGTACGTGGTTGTAATCATCTCACACCCCCCTCCCTTTCAACTGGTTCTGCATACTTACTCAGGATCCAGAAAATGCATTTCATATCGACTTCTATTACTTACTCAGGATCCAGAAAATGCATTTCATATCGACTTCTATTAGTTTGTGAATAATCAGGTTCCTATCAAGAATTTTATTTTCGGTAGATATGTCTATTAGTTTGTGAATAATCAGGTTCCTATCAAGAATTTTATTTTCGGTAGATATGAAGATAGCTTTGGCGAGTACTTGAACGAAGTATGCAGAACCAGTTTCTGAATGGTTGTTTGTGTAGGCCTGGTTGTTAATACCCCCAAATGCTAGTTCAAGTTTGTTCTCGGCCAGTTTTTGTGCATATGTATGCACTTTTGTGAGCCTGATGATATTGATAATGAGTTCAGTTTTGCGGGGAGGAATAGGGAGGACATGCAGTATGGAGCTGAGGCTATGTTGCAGGGTCACATGAGATTTGGGCGAGGTTCGGATATGGAGATGCTTCAAGGGGTTACTTCTGTGTCCAATGTGCCTTTGCTTACCAATGGTGAAATGGTACGCTATAATTTACTTCTCACTATCAGCAGCAATTGGATTCTCTTACTACATTTGCTGACCTATATCTAAGGATATTAATGGTTCACACGATACTTATAGAAACATCAAAAGAAACTAGTTAATATTAAAAGAAACTTTATATTGTATAGTCTCCTGCACTTTATATTGTATGGAAACATCAAAAGAAACTAGTTAATATTACTACCTGCCACATATTTCTGATTTTTGATCTGCAGTTTATGAGTGTGATAGAGAAGCTCTATTGTAATGACTGGTATACAAGGCTAGTAACAGCTTCCGTTATGGAAGAGGATCTAGCATAGCATTTTATGTCTAGAAAATGGGATATCTCTTTTCTTCAATATTTACGAGTATATATATACAAGTATGCACTTGTATGTGTAAATTAACACCAATTTGTAGTACCCCTACAAGCTAGGATATGTACAAGTTTGCACTTATATGTGTAAATTAACACCAGTTAGAGATAGTTTTGCTATACTATTGCTCTTGATTTTTCCTATGGGATCATTCTAAGAAGAGGCTGTAACATCAGTTCGGAAAGCCAATGTGTCTAGATGCATCCTTGTATACCTGAAAGCCTTTTTCTTTGCAGTCTCTACATTGTTAGCTTTAACCTTCAGTAGTTAAATTGGTTTTGTGCTCAATAAATTAACTAATAGTGCGCATACATTTGTTTTCTGCTAACAGGAATTCGGATACCACTGTCATGAAGGATAAATAAAAACCTTGGAACGACAATATACACTTTTCCCTTGCAGGAAGAGGTCTGTTAATTTATGCATGACATGTTTGTGACTCGTACCTGGAATGTTTGTGATTTATGCATGAAATTGGAAGAAAATGCAGTATTTTTTTTAGTTAAAGAATTGTGTGTAACTCAATGCAGTAATTTTTTTTGCTTTGATGATTTTAGTTACCTGATAAATTTCCCAGTATCCTCAAGGTTGCATCAGAAAGTAGTTCATCTGTAAGATTAGGTGGTGGCAATGCTGTTTTAAATGGTGCTATTGGTGGGTACATGTATTTTCTTGCTGCCCAAGGCCTCTGATTTCACAAAAAAGCAATATTGTTTCTTATAGGAGCTCAGACTGCTTGGGATATTCTGTTCGAGGAACAAGCTCTGAAACACATAAGTACCAATTGTGAAGATCTAGATGGCATACTTGGAGGTGGTATTCATTGCAAAGAAGTTACTGAAGTTGGTATATATCTATCTAAACCTCTGTTCAAATGATTTTTTGCATTCTAAACTAATTAGCAATATGATCCAACATAGATGTTTTGTTTGCCTATGATATTTATATTTCTGCTGAAGACTTGTGACAATAGAGGATATGCTTGAAATTTGCAGAAAACATTCGTCTAAATTAAAAGGCAGTTTATGGCTTGGGTATATTTCCATAAACCTGGCATAGTCTACATGCACATGGAGCTGTGCCAGATCCCTGCTTGGAGCTTCTCTCCATTTTTTTCTTCTTATGCTCTCATTGCCTTTAGGTTTGGAATTGAGATGTGTATGCTTCTATATTCATTATATATAGCTTTGCAGGTGGAGTTCCAGGTATTGGCAAAACACAACTGGGGTATGTTTAGTTTTTCATCTTAGGCACCTTAAGTGGGTTTGCAATGATATGTTACTTGTATGAGAAGTCCACTGCCCTTGAAAATGGTTTTGGTTTGCTAATTCATTTCAAGACCTTTAATGCTTACAAACCCAAGGATTATTGATGATTCAACATCTCCTCATGGCAAACTTTTTGTCAGATTTCAATGAATTGTGGTTATTCTTTTACTTTGATGATACTTTTGTAATTTTGAACTCACATTTTCTGATCATACAATAGAAAAAATTAGAAATTGTACTATGCACACCTTGATAACGGTGACTGTAGCTGGAACAAATCAAATTGCCTGTTTCAGAATACAGAAACAGATTAAGTTCTCACAGTTGTAGCAATGATTGTACACCATCAACCAATTGACTAAGCCCTCTATAAAGAAGTTTCACGATGAATGGTTCTGTAAGTCCCATAGCACAAGAATTTCAGGTTTTCTTCAGTTAGAAATTTAAATGCATTCATAAAATAGAACCTTACAATGAACTTCTGTTATTTTATTTCGAAACTGACATGTTTTTTGTATTCAATTCCTTTATTCCACAGGTCAAAGTTGTATTTCAGTAAATCACTTTCATGCAGCACGAGTCAATGTGGACAGGGGAATAGGAATATGAAGCAAAAGGAAGAATTATGCACCAGATGAGGCAGAGAAGCATAACAGATGAGATCAAGCAACGAATTTGATCAAGCAAATTGTGTTTCTTTCTTTTTTCTTTATGGATTACAAGCAAACTGGAATATTTAAACAGGCCTTTGAGTGTTGATTTGGAAATGGAAATGAATGTAACTAATTTGTAATGGGAGTAAATTCTTTGTTTATCATAATATACGTGTTTGGAGTATAATTTGATATTTGGTTTCTTTGTTGATGTGAATGGGTGCAATTTTTTTGTGAATGAGTGCAATTCTTTGTTGATGTGAATTGCGTCGCCAAAAGTAATATATTTTAGCGACGCTATCTTGCGTCGCCAAAGATATAGCTTTTAGCGATGCAGAATGAAGTGTCGCTAAAAGCTACACTATTACCGATGCTAAATTACGTCGTCAAAAGTATAATTTTTAGCGACGAACAGTTTTGCGTTGCTAAAAGTTATGTTTTTGCCGACGTTTTGGTTTTTGCCAACGTAGCATGCGTCGCCAAAAGTACTACTTTTGCCGACGCACCCTTTTATTTGAGAAAATTCTGCATATCTTTTGCCGATGCAAAATATTATGCGCCGCTAAAAGATATACTTTTCCCAACGCATGAAGCGTCGCCAAAAGTGTTACTTTTTACCGACGCATGTTGTTTTGTGTTGCCAAATACTTTCCTTGACGTACTTTTGGTGACGCGTTAGCGACGCTGCATTTTGCGTTGGGAAAGATTTTTCCTGATATTTTTAAACTTTTGCCAACGTTTTTGTTTCGTCGGAAATGGTGTATTTTGTTGTAGTGATAGAGTATATTGGTTAATTCCATAAAAAATATGAAGGGCATTTTGGGAAATAAAAGTTTTTCTAGTACTCCCTCTTTTAAAAGGAGAATGATTTAAATAAAACTTTTACTTTTAGGATAGCTTAATAATATAAATATAAAACCACCGTATGAGAAAAAAAATTTGTTGACATAGGATGTGGGTTAATTGTAACATGATTCGGCCGCGGGTGTATGATGATTGATCCTTAGGACGATGAAACTCTTACAAATCACATTTACTCTAAGAACTTCTCCAATGCAGCGCCAAATTTTCATTTTTGCGTTGTTTGGGCCCTTTTCATTTTGGCGCTGTTTGGGTCCTTTTTCCCCCTCTAACGTATTGCCAAAATGGGCGCTATTTTGGAGGGGTGCTACAGTGTTGCGCAAAGAATGCCGCAACACTGTAGCAATAGCGCTATTCTTTTTTTTTTTAATATTTGTATTAATAATATTTATTATTTTGTATTAACTATTATAATAAAATTAGAGTATAAAATAATTATTAAAATAAAATTCAACAATAGAAAAAATAGATAATTTAATCCAAACACTTAAATATTCATAATACTAGAACCAAATGAAGAAATAAGAAAAGCTACACCATTTAGATAAAAAAAATACAACATAAAAATTAGGCATAAAAAATTACACTAATTGCAATAAAATAGGAAATAAGAAAAACTATACCATTTATTTTTATTTTTTTGCTTGCAAGTGTGATGTTTTCTTTTGTGATGTTAAATGTAATCTTTAGTTGAATTTATGAAAGTAATATTTTAATTTGATTTAGCATTTAATTTTTATATTTTTATTTTATTCATAAAATACATTATTATAATTAATTATATGTAATGTATTATATAATTATATAATTTGTTAAATATTTTAAATAGATAAAAATGTTAAAAGATAAGAATAATAAGAGGAATATTCTTTTTAGTGTAACACTTGGTGTAATGGGTTGGAGATGGAATAATGATTTGGTGTAAAAACTACACCAACTTGGTGTAAAAACTACACCATTTTGGGTTTTATGGTTGGAGATGCTCTAAATATGATAATCTAATAAGAAGAAGAGAATCAGAATCAGTTTATCAAACCTCATGTTTTGTACTGATCCAAATATTCTCATTCCCTGAGACACAACATGTTCAGTTGACTTTTGGGTAGAATTATGTTCGGTAGAGACTTGTGCGCTAGATATTTTATCCTTAGGATGGCTTTCGTACAAACCAGAAAGTTCAACCAACAAGATAAGAATCAACACTCTGATCTAGTGGTAAGTATATTATTTATACAGATGGATCGATATAATGTTTTAAAACAGTACAATAGCACCTATTGCATTATCGCTATCTAACATGACACGTCAATAAAAATACAAGATTTAAAAAGTTCAAACTCCACATTTTAAGTGCGGACTTCAATCTTCCACATTCACTCGAAATAAAAAAAGAGAATTTATGACGCCAAAAAAAAAAAAAAACTCGGACCGGGCCTTAAGAGGAAGCCTTAAATAGCAGTCGTAATGAGTAGGGATGGAAACGAACCAAATATTTAATAAACAATTCAGCTAATATTCGTCCAGATATTCGGTCATATTCGATCCGATAATTAATGTAATACTAAATGAATATTTTTTAGTATTCGGCTTATAAACAAATAGTATTCAACTATTCGGCTGATTATTAACTATTCGATAACTTTCTATATGTTAAACCTATTAATTAAACTTGTTGCAAATATTACCCATCAAAATTTTTTTTACTAACTTCTACCCTATATATAAACAGACTTGTTAGAGGAGACCTAGGGCTTTCACCGTCCGTTCCACCTTCCGCCTCCAAGTCCAACCGATTCTCTTTTCCCCGCGACGTCCTCCCTCATCGCGCCGACGCCCTCGCCCCTCCCCGCGACGACGCCCACCGGTAAAAGTTCCTCCAGCCTCGATTTCCCTTTTTGTATTTAGAAACATTTTTAATCGAATGGTTACCGAACAGAATTCGAACGCGAATAAGAATAGTCCCATCTGAGCCGAATTCGAATTCGATCAGGGCACTATTCGTTCAAATTCGATTCGTTTCCACCCCTAGTCGGATTGAGCTTTAAATCACATCGACTCAAAAACATCGATCTCCTCGTCTTTTGCCAGCCGCTCGAAAAACCCTAACCCTAGTTTTCTCCTCGACAGCGAGCGGCCATGGCGGGAGGTAAGATGAAGAAGACGAGACCTCATCCGTCTCAAGTGCACAGCCACTTCTCAGGAGGGATCCCCTTCGAGAAATCGAAAGGGCAGCACATCTTGAAGAACCCGATGCTCGTCCAGACCATCGTCGAGAAATCCGGAATCAAGCCCACCGACGTCGTTCTCGAGATCGGTCCAGGTACCGGTAACCTCACCAAGAAGCTTCTAGAAGCCGCCAAGTCTGTCATCGCCGTTGAGCTCGATCATCGCATGGTGCTCGAGCTCAACCGAAGGTTTCAGGGAACTCCTTATTCTAGTCGCCTCAAGGTATCGATCTCCTCAAAATCAGGGTTTCTCCATTTTTCAAAAAGTTCTCGCAAGGTGTATTTATCTTATAATTGGACGTTCATACCTGTATTTTAATTGCTTGGATGACTGGTCATGTGATTAAATATTAATTGGATCGGTAATCACTTGTAATGGTTACGCCCATCAACATAACGAATTTTCGCTGATATGATATACGAAAGTCTTGATCATTTGACATAGCGGATTTATTCATATGCAAAATACTCTGATCACTTACGGAAATGAAAATTTTGTTGTATCAAGCAACTTGTATTGAGTGAGCTGTATTGCTTAAAAATGAATGAAAATATACCACTCCAATTGATGGAAAGTGTTAGAAGTGTCTAATGTTCCAATCAGCATTAATTACGTGATCGGTCATCCAAGCGTTTGAAACATAAGTATGAACGTCTAATTATGAGACAGATATAGTGACCATTGATCCAATTGACCCGAGGTTCCTTTTATCATATAGTACCCTCTCAATCGCCAAATGTTAAATCTTTTGTGAGATTTTAAATTTGGTCAAATTTTTTTAGGTATTAGTCTTTGTTAAATCATTGAATCTTGATGTTCAATATAGGTTGATCACCTAAAGAAACCGATGCCTATGCTAACATGCTTTAGGAAGGAATGTGAATTGTATACCTGTAGCATACGGTGAAAATTTCTTATTTTGCAAAGATTCCCAAGTTGAAAAGAGCTACTTTGCTCTATAATTATGATCAAAAATTCAAGCTGAAGAGAATTATGATTATTTTAAAATTGCAATAGGCGATATTTGCAATACATTTATTTCCATGAAATTTTTTAGATTCAAATTCATGCACTTCTGAGAAAATGCATTAATGTTTTACAATTTCCTGTGATATTGTAGTTGTAAAGTTGGATTTCATCTTTTTTTTTTTTTCCAAATGGAATTTTGCAGGTAATTCAAGGAGATGTGCTCAAGTGTGATCTCCCCTACTTTGACATTTGTGTGGCCAACATTCCATATCAAATCTCATCTCCCCTCACTTTCAAGCTTCTGTCACACCGGCCAGCCTTCCGGTGTGCTGTTATAATGTACCAGCGTGAGTTTGCTATGAGGCTTGTCGCTAACCCTGGGGATACTCTCTACTGTCGCCTTTCAGTCAACACCCAACTTCTTGCTCGTGTCAACCATCTACTCAAAGTTGGTCGGAACAATTTCAGACCCCCACCCAAAGTCGATTCCTCTGTGGTGCGCATAGAACCAAGGAGACCATTGCCACCTGTAAGCTTCAAGGAGTGGGATGGGCTTATACGCCTTTGTTTCAATAGAAAGAATAAGACTTTGGGTTCAATCTTTAGGCAAAAGAGTGTTCTCTCTTTGCTAGAAAAGAACTATAAAACTCTACAAGCTTTGCAGAACTCTCAGAATGGGCAGATGGAGGAGGATAAGATTGTTTCTGATGATGTGGATGCTTTGGCAAGCATGGTTGAGGATTTGAGTATGGAAGTTGGTGGTGGGAAGGATGATGATGATGAGATGGATATGGAAGACACTGATATGCCTGGGGCAGAAAAGTCAGCTTTCAAGGCGAAAGTATTGGAAATATTGAGCCAAGGTGATTTTGCTGAGAAGAGGGCTGCAAAGCTCTCACAAGTGGATTTCTTGTATCTTCTCTCGCTGTTCAACAAGGCTGGTATTCATTTTTCATGATTGATATTGAGGCTTATGGCATAGTCTTCCAACAGTACCCACAATCAATTTTGTATTTTTTATATATATTATGCTGTTAAACTTTAGTTGTTTTGGGTTGTTTCCTAACATTTAGTAGTAACTTTTAATGTGTTATGGAAGAAATTCGTAATTGTTGATTGTTTAACTTGGTTTGTGGTAACCATGTTCATTAGATTTCTTGGGGTTTGCTGAATGAGCGCATGTCATCTGAGACAAGCATTGAAGAGTAATATTCAACGTAAGATAGCTTTCAGCTATAACATTTCTTGAATGGTGTAGCTATTTGTTTGATTTTTTTAATGCATTAATCTTTGTCAGTTAAGATTATGATATGTTTGTTCACTACGTTGCTTGTCATGCACTTCATGATGTACAATATGCTTTTGATAGCCAGAGAAAGATTAAAAAGTACACCTGCAGCTGTGGTTTAAGTGGACTTTATGCCATCTCATAATTTTTCATCAATGTGTAATTTCCATTTCGGAAGTAAATAGCTGTTCGACGTATGGTATAGTGACTATAGTCTTTGCTTCTAGCATTGAATGGCACCTTATTAAATCTGAAACTTTCAAACTTCTAGCGTTTCACCACACTGTTGGAAGGACTGCCTGAGTTCTGTAAATGATTGTTGATCTTTCCTATCGCCGCTAGTGTTGAAGATTCTAGGATGATGTTCTGACATTTAGGTTGTGTTTGGTTTGAGAGAAAGGGAGAGAAAGGAAAGTAATGTGGGAGAGAAAATGTATTTCTAGTGTTTGTTTTGAAAGAAAATAAAAAGGAAAAAGAAAATAAACTTTCCTGTTGAAAAATCGTTATATCTATTTTCGTTCCTCTTTCTCTCCGCTGCCCTAGTGAAAACGAAGGAGAGCGACGGAAACATTCGCCCGACGCTTACCCCGATCTCTCCTCCAGAGATCCTCGTCGCCTTGCTCTTTCGTCTCCAGAGATCCTCGTCGCCTTGCTCGTCGCCTCCAGAGATCCTCTCTCTCTCTCTCTCGATCAAACCCTAGTTCGACGCCAACCAAACAAGGGTTTCTCCAATCGAGCTCTCGTCAGCTTGACGCCGACCAAACACGGGGTAAGATCCCAAGGTGAGCTTCGATTCGAGCTCGTAATTATTTTTTATATGGATTTTGTTATGTGGGGATGCTCTTCTATGGATTTTGTTCTATACTTCAGCAAAATGACCTTCAATTTATACTATTCTTACTAAAACAGGTTCTCTAACAACATCATCCATTTATGTTCCTAATACTTTTTTCGTATATAGCTCTCAGATAAGAAGATAGATTGTCTAATTTTTGGGGATTAAGTTTTTGTACCTCTATACAATTGATTTAACAGTAGGAAGAATTATGTATTTTAAGTCAATTTTGTATTGTGATTTTGCAAACAAATATATTGTGATTTTGCAAACAAATATATTGAGCATCAAACTGGACAATTACAATTTGGTAGTAAAATAGAGGTCTAATCCTGAAAGTTATCATGATAATCACGGGGAGTTCCTACTACAAGTTCTATTGGAAGTTTTGCATTTGGGAAGTAGGACTATCGATATCTTTCATAGTTAGAGGGAACTCTTTTTTTGCAGATTTAAAACTGATCATTCCAAATAATCTTACTGCTGGACATGTGCAGCTCACCTATTTCTGTTAGATGGAAGAAATGACATGATACTGGTCTGTTTATAAACAAAATAGTGAGATTGTATATTTTGCGACACAAATTATTTCCTTTGGAGATAGTAAGTTAGGGAAATATTAATCAGAACGATACTGTGGTTTTCTGTGTAATTGAATAGAAGTTACGGAAATATTAATCAGAATGGTAACTGTGGTTTTCCATGTAATCAAATAATTTGAGGACATTAGTTCAGTATTTCACCTTACTTGTAGGAGAAAGACCCAGTTCCGGCTTAGTCTCATATTGCTTTTAATTATAGTTAAGCTTGACAATGGCTTGGTCGCTGATTGAAGACAAATGATGAAAATTGGGTGCTGCACTTTCTGTTTCTAAAGTGTTTTCCTAATATACGACTTGGATACATAATTGGGCTCCCCTTTCCCATCTTTTATGAAATCTATTATTTATAAAGCATTATACGACTTGGATACATAATTGGGCTCCCCTTTCCCATCTTTTATGAAATCTATTATTTATAAAGCATGGCTATGTATCTTTTGTTATCTGACAATAATCAGTGTTTATTCAGGATGGTGCTCTTTATTTGTTTTTTGAAATTTTCAAATGTTTTTTTTTTCCTTTTTTTGCTTTGTAGTTAATGACAAAATCAATGATCACTAAATTTGAATTGATGTTTTCGTTTTGTTCACTCGCAATTAGGTTGTCTTTGGTGATATCTTTGATCTTTTCGGAACCGCTCCAGATTCAACTGCAGGTTTCTCTTGGATCTCTCTGTCAACATGAATACAAATTCATCCGAGGTAAATCCTGTTCATATTTTTTTGTTGGTTTTGAAGTTTAATTTGTTGGTGATATCTTTGCTCATATTTTTTGTTCATACTGTTGATGCTTGATCCACAACACACATCCAACCTCCTCCATACATCATGTCAAATTCCTGAAAGAAAGAAAAAAAGAGAGAAGAAATCATATAATTTTAATTCAAGCAAAACTTTGCACGTGCGCGCGCGCACCAACAGAATGAAAATGTTAAGAATAGGAATTTAAACTCTTGGTCACATTATTAAATTACAAAACCAAGATTATACCAAACTTACCCATTCAAAACATCCTCCCTCCCTTTTATATATATATTCTGGAGGATGGGAATTATAAACCTTATTCATTGTAGAAGAAAAGAGGATTCCAGTCTTTGTGATTATGTTTTGGAGTGGCTATATTTAGTTGAATTACTGTTTTGAATTGAATTACCTCTTTCTATTTTGGAGTGGCTATATTGAGTAATTAATTAAGGAGGGTGACTTTCATGCTACCAAAGAGCGTTAAGGACCACGCCATACAACAAACACTTGTATTCGTCCTCTGTTCCTCACCAGAGCAGCTGGAGTTAGAAGATAAATGAGTCTTTTCTAGTTTTTGTTTTCTTTGGTTTAGATGTCATGCCTCTCTAGAGTGAGAGGGAACAGCTGAGTCTTATGCTTTTGGAAATAAACTGAAAATTAAGTTTAAATATCTCTCTTATGTTTCCCATGTTAAAATATCTGCAACCCATAAGGCTATACTTAATCATTTTTTCCTTTTTATCTAGCACTAAATTGATTAATGCACATCTTTCTTTCCTTATCCATGGGAATCTGAGCCATTTTCAGTGACCAACCTGATCTTTTTTAAACTTGAGAAGAAGTATTTGGTTGAGTTGGACATGGATTGAAAAATTCATCTAGACTTCTATTTTGGTAGTGATGAAATAGCTATTAGACTATTTGTAAGGATCAAACCCAATTTTCTCTCTTTTCCTATTCTCATTGGTTCTTTGACTAGTTGTTATATTAGTTTGACTATTTTGTATTTTCTTTGTGCCCTTGAGAAGACTTATCAATGGTGGAAGTTGATTCTTTATCTATTAATAGGCACATCCTGGAGCAAAACAATTTCGTTACAAACCTGTACCGTGTTTTGAAAACTTGCAAATTATTTATGGGAAAGATAGGGCTGTTGGTTTAATCCCCTGCCTACCTCTTTCTCTATCTTTATGTGTGTGCATGTGTGCATATTCTAGCCTTCAATTTTGTGCATCTTCTGCTATTATAACAGTCTAAGAATATGCTAGTATGTGTTTGCATGTGTATATCCAGGCGTTTTACTAAGTTTAATGTGTATATCCATGCATTTTACTAAGTTTCCCCAGAAGTTGAATTAAGTATGTAGTCAGCATGCGCCATTTGCCTTTGTTTCTGACCTCTTTGGATGCTTCAAAAAGTGGAAGAGTTTTACATCCTAAGATATCCTTATTCAGCATTGTGTAATGCCTTATATCAGCATAATCTATGTAAGCTGCTTATGCCTTGTGTTGTTTTAGCCTTTGGGGTGCGTGTAGAAAATAGAAACTAGAAAAGCTATTTATGCAAACCGCGTAATTATCATGATAATCAGTGTAATAAAAAACAGTAGTACAAAACTGTGATTCTATTTGATAACTTGTGATTGATTAAAACTTTTGTGTGTGTTTTGGTAGTTGATATTATCTATCTTGAGTCATAAGTTAAGTTGATATTCTTGAACTTTTTTTTACGTGAAAACTCATATCTATATTGATTCATGATTGTTTGTCTATTATGTGCATCGTGTGGGTCTCCTTCACTTGGGCCCGTGCATTGCATTGCAATTCGCACATGTGAATGCAAAGGGACTTTGCGCACATGTGATGTAAAGGGATTTTGCGCCCTGCATATTCGTAAGCGGTACACTAATTTTGGAGAGCTAATTCGTGTATAATGTATTGTATGGAATCGATGCGCAAATGTACCTAGAGTCGGTTCATAGAAACTGTACAATAGTTCTTTAGGGTCCAGAGAATCATGCAACTATGATTGAATATGATAATCATGTTTGATTAAATAGATTTGCAGTCCCATTCGTGCAATATCCATTTTAAGCTAAAACCTGATTGTAATTATTATGTTCTTCAGGGTTCTAGGTTAAACATGAGCGAAGGATATTCACCTATAGTTACAGATGCAAGCAAGATAAGATCACCCATTGATTGTATTATATCAAATTCTCTGGATTTTGGAGTTTTATGCTAGACTTAATGATTAACTACTTGTTTACAAATAGCAGTTTCTTCATGCTTTAGTTGCTGCCAAGGATCCCTCTAGTCCAGCGAAAATTATCACCAATTTTCGCTGCCACCTCTATAGGAGTGGGATGGTTTACACCAACTGATACAGTAGCCACAGTTCCCAAACTAACCCTCTGAACGCTCGTGAATAGTAAAAATCACATCGTTCTTTGTGTGCGATGAGAGAATCTTATTGATACTAAGGATCTTTCTAGTCCAGCGAAAATTGTCATCATTGATTCGTGTCGAGCCAGGCGAAGAATCAGCATGAGGAACTAGCTACCTGATACTAAGTTACTAACTGAAAGGAACAAATTCCATTCGCTCCTCTCCCTAGATATATGGCTGGTCATTATCTGAGACCTCTCAAGGCCAACAACAGTATCTCCAGATTTCACTATGTGTTTGCCCTGTTTCTTCAATCAAATAACCACTGACGCTGTGTTTGCCTCAAGCAAGTTTGGTGCCGATATTATGTACTTGCATCGCACAAGCTTATGGGTTTTCTATTTCTTGAAGGAAGTTTTCATCTAATATCGAACAATAGTTTCATACTTCATACTTCTTCAATCAAAGGAATAGGAATGGTATATATAGATCACCTAGCTCGTTCTGTAAGGTGGGTGTTCTGATAGAATCTTTACTTAGATCGATCTAGTCATTTGGAAATACGTTTCACTTTCATGCTTCTACGCATGTCAAGTTGTTGTAGAAAGCCGCGAGGGAACAGCTCCTAGGATTTTGAGTAAAGGAATCCAGTTTGGTAATATAAGCTCGAGCCACACTGCAGTAAACCCCAGAAGTTAGCGTCTGGTCACCTCACGACAATAATATGTAGGTCTATATGCTCATGAAACGAGCTAGAAATATGCTCATAAAGTGCGCATTGTAAAACTATGCATATGGGTTGGATCCAAGATGACTAATATTGACCATGTTCCTGCTCATAGAGGCTAATTGATCATGTTTGAGATTATTTTTGATGGTTATTGGAGAGTTGTGGTCTACGCCTAAGGAAATCTTGAGCCGAGCAACATGTTCTGCTTGGCACTCATACGTCGACAGCAATTTTTAGAGACTGATTATTTAGGGTGGATGAAATTCGTGACGAATTATATTGATTGCTTTTACGGGTCATCCAACTATTTTTAGATGAAAGAGGATGTGCGATGGAACCGCCGAAAACAGATTTTTTTTATTATTATGGTTATTGGAGAATTGTGTTTTCTTTGCTTCAGTTCTTCTGAAAGTATAATGATTGTCTGAATCAATGAGTCACGCTGCTCTCAATAAATAAACGAGACCGGAAAAATAATAATGGATGTCAAATTATCGGAGGTTTCTACTCGACCACATTAATCTTAGCTAGTTTTCAATAAACATACATTAACGCTTTTTTTTAAGGGATAACCCAGCTCGATATTGAACCCAAGAATGTGAGAGCGATATTTAAGCATCCCAACCGTCTGGATTACCCGCTCTAGATCACATACGTTATTACTTTTTATTATTAAATTGATGACTATTTAGGAGGAGAGACAGTAAGGAGTGTTGGTGAAAAGAGAGAATATCACTAGTAGAAAATCACATATTCTAGACGGAATATTCTAGACGAAATTTTCCCCGTCTAGAATGTATTAAACTAGACGGAAAATTCCCGTCTGGAATATTCTGTCTAGGATAAAACATTCTAGACGGATATTTCCGTCTAGAATAGTATCCCAGACCGTTCTTTTATTTTTATTTATTTTTTTAAAATATCCAAGTATTCTAGACAAAAATTTCCGTCTAGAATATCTCCTAGCCGGAAATTTCCGTCTTCTAGGATACCAGCCCATTTTTTAAAAAAAATTTACCCCGTCAAAACCCCAGCCGCCCTTCTTCCCCCTAAAATCGAAATTTTCAGGAGCCTCCCCAAAATCCTCAACTCCAAGCTTACTCAACCTCACCCCTCCCGCTCCCTCCCCCTCTACTCCCTCTCCCTCCACGGCCTCCACCACCTCTCCCGCCTCCTCTCCTCCTCACCGCACCCACCTGCCCCCCGTCTCTCTTTCTCTCCCCTCCGCCGTCCTCCGATTTCCTCTATCTTCAACCACCGCTGATCTCTCTCTCACCCGATCTAGGGTTTCACCGCTCCCAGGTCCCATCCGAAACTCTAGATCGAATCTTCAACTGAATTCGATCCAGATCTCTCTCTTTCTTCGATCATGGAGGCAATGGAGGAATTGACTCAGCTCTTTCTGTCCATGATGCAGGCCACAACTCTCCTTGCCGACGAGGAACGTCGACGAGTCGTCGCCCGCGTCGTCGAAGCGGAGCTCCACTTTCCTCAACGTCGTCGCTAGCTCTCGGCAACGTCGTAAGTTGAATCTGGTTTGACTTCTGAGTTGTTGTTTCGATTATTGTGCTGATGAACTGACTCTTGGTGGGGCGCGGGGAAATCTGCGGTGCTGAACAGTTTGATAGGGCATCCGGTGCTGGTAATGATGGGAAAACTTTAAACTGTGAAATTGATGTAATTTTGAGTGATTTTATAAATTTGAGTGTAATTGTGAAATTGATGGGGGAAATCTGAGTAATTTTATAAATTTTGAGTGTAATTGTGAAATTGATGTGCAGCCGACAGGGGAGAATGGGGCGACGAGGGCGTCGATCAGTATTGACTTGCAGAGAGATGGGTCGCTGGGCAGTAAAGCGATTATATTGCAGATTGTTAACAAATCTCAGCAGGTTTCAGTGAGTAAGTAGGAGAATTTTTCCTGTTCGGCATGAATGTTATTTGTGAATTGAGTTGATGTTGCGTTCTTAAAGTTGGTTTGGTTGTTGTATAGGTGCTCTTAGGCATTCTCTGCAAGATAGGTTGAGCAAGGGGAGCAGGGGTCAAGGAGATGAGATATATTTAAAATTCCGCACCAGTACAGGTTTGTTTGCCCATTATCTATTTTAATGGGGTTTTTACTTGATTAATTGGGTCCCTGTGATGTGTTTGATTTGCCTTTTTTTAAAACCTTAATCATGCAACTTTTCAATCCCCTCTGATTTTCGGAACTCTCTATTTTATGTGTTAAATCTTATTTTTCCCCCCCCTGAAGCCCCATGAATAATTTGTTAATAATTCATTTATTTAGGAGTCCTGTACAGTGTAAATCTTGTAAATGTGTGTGCACATTTGTGTTTGTGTTTTTCACATATACATGTGCTTTCTTGTGTGCATAAAATTCATCACCTAAACACTTTGAACTCTAATAGTGGTAACGGGTGAGTGGCGCATTACAAGCAATCGATTAAAAAGGTATTGTGACGATGCTTACATATTTTTCTACTTCTTTTTGAGCCAAGAAACCATGCTTACATATTTTTCTTATGTCCGAGGGTGAAATCGTGAGGGATGGTAACTAGCACGACTGAAGGTTTTAGTAGTTCAAATACTGTCCCTACCACTAATTAGTTTATATATTTGTAACAAATTGGTGTCTCCCTTGACTGCATTCACTGTTAACTGTTTATGGTATTTATACTTCAGCATGTAAGAAGAGCTGATGAACTTTTTGAGGACTGCAACTGTTTAGGAGTCCTGTTTCCTTTGTGGCATCTACGTTTTGCTTTGTTTTGTTTTTACAGCTTTCCTGATGTATCAATGTATGCAAGAGTTCACGCAGTAGAAGTATTCAGTTGATCAATGCCACAACTGTTTTGAATGCCCCTCTTGATGCTGCAAGTAAACAGCTCTCATTACTGGTATGAATCTAGACTAGTTACTCATGTTGAGAATATATGCTAACACAAAACTTAAATAAGGTCCTTAGATACATTATAACTTATACATCATCTTCATTGAACACAAAGTCTAAGATTTACGTTACATTATTAGCTTGCTCTCATCATTTTAACAACTTGCTGTGCTGCTGTCATGTAATAAGGTTAACCTTCTTTCAAAAATTTAAAAGCCTATTAGTGATTAACGGATGCATTCGTTCTTTTGATGCATTGTGATGACTTCCTGGCCTTGTCAACTTTCTGTTTCAGGTGTCATTGGAGTTACTTTTTGCCATTTCAGATCTGTTGTGTGCGCCAGGTTTAATCGCTTGTTGTTTTTCTTACGATTCTTATGATTTGGTTTTGTTTTTGTTTACATTTCCAATGTCTATTCTTACGATTCTTATGATTTGGTTGTGTGCGCCAGGTTTTGATTCTTATCATTTGGAGCTTCCGATGCTGTGGAGGTTTTCTGTGTTCCAAAAGTGTAGGCAGTTCGGACATTTCATCCACCACGATAGGAGAATAAATTGGATTCTTAATGTATATTTGATTCTTCTCATTGTCATGCGACTGATTTTGTAATGCTAATACAGCCATAATGACGCTACTTGCTGTATTTTCTGTGAACGTGTATCATTCGGATTGTGCGTTCGTTTGCATTTTTTTTGTGAATATGTATCATTCGAATTGCACGTATTTTCTGTGAATTAATTAGTAACGTCGTTATTTGCAATTTTTTGGCTTAATTCTTCAATGCACAAAGTAGATTCCTAACCAAGCAAAAAAAAAAAAAATGTAGCATAGTATCCTAGACGGAAATTCCGTTTAGGATGCTCAAATTCCGTCTAGGATGCCTTTAAAAAAAAAAAAAAATCAAAAAAATCAATTTCCGTCTACGATGAATTATTCTAGACGGAAATTCCGTCTAGAATAATCCGTCTAGGATGTATTCTAGACGGTTTTGAATTTCGTCTAGAATATTCCGTCTAGGATATATTCTAGATATCCTAGACGGAAACTTTCTAGATGGAATTCCGTATAGGATATGCATCCTAAAAGGAATTCTGTGTATTCTAGACTGAATTTTTCGTCTAGGATACCTAATTTTTTAGCCGTGTATACATGTTAAAGACATAGGGTCTCATTCTTAACTCTTCTCATTTCTAGAAGAGAGAGTTCAACCGGAGAAATTAAAACATTAATCTCAGTCTTCCGGTGGCCTCCGAACAAACTGTTCACGTGCATGGTCACGTGACCAGCGCTGTCCTCTACGAGCCTCTTTTTCCATAAAAGCACGGTGAAACCTAGCTAATCAGGAGCCGCGCCATTGAATCTAATGTGGGCCCCATATCAGTGAATTAATTCTCCGGCAACTTTTGTTTCCTAATTTTCTCAGTAGGCCCGCGACAGATCATCGACCCGGACCCTGGAGATTTGCACCTGCAGGCTGCGAGATTCGGTGCCGGGTCGTGCGTCCAGTTGGGCGATCGATCTCTTGCGTCCAAATGTCACTGCGAGCGAGGAGGCATCGGATGCTGCAGGCTGCAGCCACGTACGCACGCGAGCTGCGTGGCCTTTTCCCAGCATGAACATCCGCACAACCACGTGGCCAACCAAACGACCCCGGTACGGTCAATTATTGATCCTCCGCAATTTTGATCGCACAGAAAGCCTACAATCAGCCGTGCGGATTAATATGGTCGGTGTTTATCTCAACGAGCTCTATGACTGAATATTTTTTTTATATGATTTTAGTAACTAATATTATTTATGGGATTCGCCGAGTGAGTAGATTTGATTGGTGAACTGTAGAGCTTCTCTACAACTAAGGATATAGAGGATCTATACCCAGTTATTGCATGTCTACTTCACAAGGAGGAAAAAGCTGCTGAGCCAGTACGTAATTAAAATGCCAGAATTAATCGATCTTTTTTTTTAAAAACAATTCAGCTCAGAATCGAATCCAAGAACATGAATGTAATATTGGAACATTTGAACTGTCCAAATCATCCATGATGAGTTTCTTTCTTTCTTTCTTTTTTGAATGTCTTAATTTGGAAAAATATACAAGTGTTAATATGGAGAATCTAACCAACAAAGCTCTTAATTTGAAACATCATATCGAAATCAATGGAGTAAAGGGACACGCTGCAACTGTATTTTTAAGTAAAATTTTGAAGTTGATATGTGATTGTTCTGATCGTATATAATATTTAGTTTACATAATTACACTAGATTCTTATTCCTAAAAGACCCAACAGG